CTGAGCGCGACCAGACTTTCTCACCTTCTTTCCAAACAACCCTGGCACTCCGTATTCCTCCTGAAACGAGTAGATAATCCACTTCTGCTGACAAGCCATGGCGGCAAAGGCGGCGCTATCTGGCTGCCTGCCTGTACGAGGCATAAGATCTTCCACAATACTTTTGTTGACCTTGACACCAAGCCCCTGCGCCGAGGCGGAGAGAACATGGTGCAGAAAGGCTCGCGGGTCAGCACCTCGATGTGGCGTGCCGAAGAAGACCACCCCAGTTGTCGACATGAAGACATCGTGTAGATGCGAACAACCGGGCGCGGCGCTAGCCTCTTGGGCTCGCTTCAGCGCCTCCTTTGCGACTAGCCCTCCCAGACTGTGAGCCATGAGGAGGAGAGGGCGTCTTCTCTCCCCTGGCGCCCGTCTCTTCGCTTCTAGAGTAGACAGCAGATCCGAAGCGTGATCTTGCATTGTATTCTGGCTAATAGGGCCTTGCACAAAGTGCCGTATGCGTGTATCGTACCCGTATGTCATGATCCTCGCGGAAGGCGTGGCCAGAGGGAGGAGATGGTACGGCCAGTACACGTCCTCCTTCCCAGCCTCGACGCCCCCATTGTTCGTCGAAGTTCCAACTCCATCGAGCTGTTCGGAGGAGAATGAGGATACTCGAGTCTCTGAAGAGGACTGTTCGGCGGGCTGATCTCGCGAGGTATTCTTTCGCCCGAAGCGGGGAAATTTGGACGGCCGCGGGGGCGCTTCGTCACGTTGACGCTTCCGAACTTTGGACCGCTCGAGGGTCCATGTCAATCTCGGATGGCCGGTAAATCCATGGACAAAGACGATACTAACACAGGCAGGCAATGTGTCAGCAAAGGAGCTCCAGCGGTGAACAAACTTACTCAATGGTGGGGTTTGCGGGCTCATAAAGCACCGAAATGCCCTGGGCGGAGACGGTAGCCATAGCGTTCGTTCAGACGCCAGCCACGGTACGGAGCATCGCAGCTCTCGAAGATCGCGGCACGCTCTGTTGCGCAATTGAGAGGGAACAGTCGTCTTGTCAGAATGGCATGCGTCGGATTGGTAAACGTTGACGCAGAGCCTGATGCTCTTGTGCACTCGGCTGCCTCATGGCTCAGCTGAAGGCGGTGACCCAAATAGGCATGGTCTGAATTCACCCGACGACGAGGAAGCCGCGAATCGTCAAGAGCAAGCGATCAAAATCAGGGTTAGGGTACCCCTGATTTCAACATCTGTCTCACCTCTGGCCCAAATACCTCAACGTGCCCCAATACCTACTTAATTGAAGGAAAGGAAAAAAAGACCAAAATAACCAAGACAAGGCCTCGGAGCGGGCAGCGCACCGGCATCCAATCGCTGGGCGTGTGTCCCCACAGCCTGCCTGCGCGATGTGAAATATCATTACTGATCCATGTGCAGGAGAGGAATGTGCATTTCCGCGTTGACCTCATGGCCGAGAGTCGTTAACGAAGCTAGACATAACTAGCTGAGATTTGACTGTAGTTGACAAACATGAAGCGAACGAGAGCACCCCCCAAAACACTGCCACCCTGGGTATATTAGAGGGGAAATAGGTTATGATTAGAAGAGTAACTAAAGTACCTCATCACTAGGCCCTCCCCCTATTCCCTCGACCCATGATTCCATCATATCAACATTATCCTGCAGCTACAGCGTCAGCGATGTCCGCATCATGACAGCGCCGCGCAACTCTCGCCTGTCTTCAGCCCATGTCAAATCCCCTGCCAGGTGATTCCCAACCGCTAGCTAGGTTTTTACCTAGAACTCCATGGGCTCAGGTAAACAGTCTTCCCGTCAGACAGTCTCCACATCTGCCCCGGCGCTCGAGCAAACATCATGCAGCTGTTCGAAGTCAGCCCCTTCCCAGTGTTTCTCCGTCATTTGGATCTCCAGAACAACTTTCCGCAGACGCGGTGCCCATGTCGTCCAGTTTGCCATCCACGTCTCGATGAAGGGTAAGGACCTGGAGCCAAGCCAATTGTACCCGCCCGACGAGGCAACCATCCTCGTTGATGACAAGCGTTTCCAGGCTGACGGGGAAGCATGCATCAGTCGATTCGGGCTAGGTTGGTCGAATCCGAGCAAAAGTACTAATGGGATATCCAAGTGGGCGAAGTGTTCACGGCTCCGCAGCCCAAGAGATCCGTAGATGGCGAAATTGGGGGTATACACTTGACAAAATGGTACTTGATACAGTCGATTGAGATCTTCAATCTCTTGAGCGTATCCTTGACATGGTTCAGATCGTTGGTGAGTTGATCCAGGTCGACACCACCGTAACCGTTCCCATCATACTCCCAGTCCCAGTCCAGGGTCTCAAGGCACTGAGTGGCCTGTATAACGGAACCCAGCGGTCCATCGAAAATGCCAGTGAGCTTCATCGATGTCAAGTTGTTGCAAGCTAAAGGCGTGCCACCAACTGGGTAGCCGGGCCACCAGAGATAACTCGAGAAGTCCAACCGAGCATGCAGACACTCCAGATTGGGTAGATAGAAAAGCGCCAGAATGTCTTTGATGTTGGAAGAAATGAGGCCGTAACCGCTTGGGACGTGGAGGAAGGTGACTTTCGCAACCGTGCGAATGTAGGCAAATTGCCACCGCTCGGTTGTTTGCAAAGGGCGGAAGTAAGCATCTCTCCGGCAAATCGGCTTTCCTTGAGCACACCAGGCCCGAGGTAGAGAGACGACAGGTTGGGAAGGTGCGAGAAAAGGAGGGCGATCACGGCATCCACCCTCTCCTTTTTCAATTCGTGTTCCCAGCGAAGCTGTAGGTGCTACTGTAGGTAGCAACCTCGGCTAGATGCTCCTTCGTGAGCGTTATGGCTGTTGGTCGTACGGGCAGGCCAGTTTCCTCGTTCAAGATGGCGTCGAAATCCATTTTGAACTCGCTGACTTTGTTCTCCGAGATCCGGTCTGCGGAGCAAAGTCGACAGGAGCGGTGCAATCAGCGGGGCGCCCTCGTCGTAGGTCTCATCCCACGTCCCCTTCTTTTACCACTTCAGCCCAATTGAAGAGTGAAGCAGCGGCCGGGCGATATGGCGGAGGGAGGTGCTGCTTTGGCAAAGGGCGGCAAGGTTAGATGGAGACAACTCCGAGAAGATTTGGAGGATTAGCTGCACAGGAAGCTCTTCGAGAGCCGCCATCATAGATAGATGGTCAGCTATTTCGCGCTGGCTTGGGCGTGCTTGGTTGGCTTTTCGTGGTCGATTTGGCAGATTTCGTCAGTTGAGTGGTGGTGGGGTGCGCGTGGGTGAAAAATTCTTCTGGTGCGAGGAAGAACGAGAAATCGGTCGGATTTCAAACATGGAATCGAAAAGGGACGCGACGCAAGCGCGTTGGGGCCTGTGCCTATATCGAATGGAATCAATCTCAAGCTCCAGAAAAAACCTAGAAGAGTTGCAACGCATTCCATTCAGACTTTCGCATCAGATCGACGTCTTAGGATCTTGAACAAGAACGAGAAGAAGTTATCCATTACGACAACAAGCCAAAACTCGAAGTCTTGAATCCTCCCAAAACAACCACAATCCAACTGAAAGATCTTAACATTCTGCCAGAACATGTACCTCGCACTGACCGATGGAACACGACCGATTCCAGTCTCAGCAGCCAACGTTAACTTCCAGAGCCAGGAAAAGACAGGAGCCAGGCCTTCCCTCAGTACCCTAATCACGCGCAAGCAACAGCACATCCTAGACATCATCCCCTCGTCAACTTCATTGCACAAATGTACAAAATCCCTCCTCAACCAAAGAAGAAGGCCCACCCAAGGCACATCCCAACCCAGGATCACACAGATTCATCGGATTGCAAGGGCCCACCGTGGCCCACGAGATGCAATCGTCCAGGCACTTTTCATACGAAAAAATCTCGTCACGCTCTGTGAGGGAAGTCTGTTAGCAAACAGGATACAACCTGAAGAGATGGATAGCATTTGATGCTTGTGGGGTGTTGAAGGAAAAAAAAAAAGAGCCAACGAACTCCTCACACCGCCCATTGCGGGGCCGCTGTGGGTGTCAAAGTAGGAAGCCACGGCAATGAAGCTAGTCACGCTAGAGGGGTCGGACGGGGAAGGGGCCGCGAGGGCCACGAAAGGGAGAGCGAGGAGGGTGAGGGTGGTGGCAAAGGACTTCATTTTGGGAGTTGAGAGGGGGATTTTTGAAAGATTGGTGGAGGCTTGGGGTTGTGATTGTTGGAGGTTTTGCTTGATCTGAAGCTTTTGATGCTGGCGGTGAAGAAGGAGAAGAGAATGGAGGGGAGAAGGGCTCTTTATGCTCATCGTTGAGAAACATTGAGGCCGTTGGGTCTGGCAGTCGTGATGATGGTGACAGAGCCGATGGGTCGCACCGTTTTGAGGGAGCAGTTTGCCTGGGGCCGTGCGTGTGTTGGTAGCAGTTACACAATGGAGAAGCAAATCTAGATTGCTTAAACGCCTCTTCCAGTATGAAAAAGGCCCTATATAATGTACATAACGCCTGAAATAGGATACTTTAGGTGTTTTAAAATGCAGATATGGCTTCATAGCATGCAGTCAATACCTTTTGGCTTTTCTCGCACGTCTGCATTGATCTGGGCGCTGGGTTTTCCGCATGCAGCAGATATCCCCGTTTGTCTGGCTGGAACCTTCGTGTATGTATCTCGGCGTTATCCGGGGAGCCATGACTTGGTTTCGAAACCCCAGCCGTAAAACTCAGGGAGACTCTAAAGCAGGTAGTTTTCGACATATCGTGCAACACCCTCGTCTCGGCGATAACCCCCTCTCCCCCCCTCTTTTTTTTTTTTTTTTTTTTTTTTTTTGATTGCCCTTACGGGTTTTGGCCACGCACGAGCCGGTTGTTCCTGTGGCTAACCGAAATAAAGTTCTGCTATTCCCGAAAGCCACTGCCCACCACCTCGTCATCAACCCACCTCCGATTCAACGAAACACTTAACTAGAAAACCAATTCCAGGTAACTAATAACCAAAGCCAAAGTGCGGGTAACGTGGTGGTTAGCGCGCTCAATAAACTTTATCAGTGTTGCTTTTCCAGCGTTTAGCGAGAGGCCTGGGTTCGAATCCCAGCCAGCCCAAGCCCTAATTTTGCCCCCAAGCCCCCTTTTCTTGCCCGCCGCGCCATGCTGATAACACAAACCGCGACCTCTCCGAAAGATCAAGAACGGTCCGCGGTAGCATGGCATAGTTAAGCCCCTCTTTGTCGAGCAACCCGCAGAAAAGCTCGTGAAATTCCTTCCACTGGCCATCACTCTCGGGCATCAACCGTACGCCGTCATCCCTGAGCCAATCCACCCCAGCCTCGCACACCACAACCAACGACGCCTCCATCCTGCGTTTCAACTCAGCCCATTCTTCCCCTTTCAGCAAGCCCTCTGCTCCCTCTTGCCCCACATACTGCAACGCGTACGCAATGGGGTCAATGCCTGACCGGTCCGAGATGAACCATTTCGCCCTTGACTGCAGAGCCTTCCTCTCCTCTCTGAGTTGGGCTTGGAGAATAAGCTTCTGCAAAGCAAGACATCTCTCGGCTGAGGAGGTGATGTCGTTTGCTGTATAGTTGTGTTCGACAAGGACGGTACGTGCGACCTCTTTGATGATGGGGGGTTGATCCTGAGGGGATGCCTGCTCTTTGAAGTGGCCTTCGAGGGCGTTGACGAGCGTGGTTTTGCCGGTGCATTGGGCGCCGACGATGTAGATGTTTTGATGATGCATTGGGATTATGGGGGTGTGGTGAAGACGGTAAGTACGGTGAGCGGGGATGCATCTGGGGTGGGTGTGAGCTTGGTGGGTTGCGTCCTGTTATCTTCATGTCGACATCCGTTGATGTGGCAAGGTGTATGCGGTGAGGCCTACAGCCCCCTCTCTTGTGTAACATGGATGCCTTGGTTTTTCGTTGACTGGTGCTCGTCCCTTTGGATTTGGTCGTCCCTTCTCTTTGCAAATTGAAGAGTTGCAACGAGACGAGCTTCTTTGTGCCAAATTACGGCGAGATCAAGCCCGGCCGCTCCTTCCTCACAAGCAGAATCACCCAGGACCCACCAAATCTGCTACCACTGCCACCATGGTAAACTCCTCGAAGAAATCGGACCCACGCAAATTTCAGGCAGCCCTTCAGGATACCGTCTCGCTGAGCGACCATGAATGGTCCTATATGCTGCCCGGCTTCCCGGCCCCTAGCGAGACCAACAGGCTGGGGCTCGTAAAAAGCATTTCGGTCAAAACCACAGGCACCAAACATGCAATCAACTTCACGTTCCAGCAGGCATCCATAAACAGAGCCCTCCGAAGCGACCCTCTCAGCTCCTTCATTTCCATCTCCTTCGCCGACTTCCACACCCGCACCCTCCGCCACGCCAATGGCGAAGTCGTCGGCACGCAACCCGCCACGCCAAGAGAATGCACCGACTACATCATCAAGCTTCTGCGCTCCGGCGTCACCCTCCAAGGCACCCACTACAACTTTTACGGCCACAGCAACAGCCAGCTCAAGTCCCGTTCCTGCTTCCTATATGCCGCGTCGAAGGAGGCCATCCAGGCCAAGGTGGAGGCCCTGGGCGAGTTCTCCAAGATGAAGACGGTGCAGAAAAAGGCCAAGCGAATTGGCCTGTTGTTTTCGTCCGCTGAAGTCGCCAAGACTATCGACCCGAAGTGGTGTGAGGACATACCCGATATCGAGTCGGCCGACTACATCTTCACCGACGGCTGCGGTCTCATCGCCCCGAAGCTCGTGCGAGAGCTGGCAAAGAAAGCGAATATCGTGTTCCGCAACCAGCGTTACTGCCCTTCAGTCCTGCAGATTCGCTACCGGGGATACAAGGGGGTGGTGACGCTAGACCCGAGGATGAGAGATGGGGGCCCGTTGCTACGCCTGCGTAAGTCGATGAAGAAGTTTAACGGCGGCGATGACCACTCCTTCTCTGTCGTCCAAGTATCCAAGCCGTACACCTTTGGCCATCTCAACGATGAGGTCATCCTCCTCCTGCGCTCGCTCGGCATTTCCGTCGAGACCCTTCTCCGGAAACAACGAGAGCACCTCCAGTTCATGGCTGAGGCTCCTGACAACCCGCAGATAGCATTTCGGTTTCTATGCTATGTCAACCGCTTCGATCTAGCGGAGAAGGTGGTGCTAGAATCTCTTGATGCGATTCGGCCCTCGGTACAAAGCCTCGTCAGAGCCGAACACAACAAACTTATCAACAACCGGAACTCTCAGCGGTGCCGCATCCTGATCCCCAAGTCGCGCATCCTCTTCGGCGTGTGTGACGCCTGGGGCGTACTCAAGGAAGGGGAGTGCCAGGTTAGGATCACCCATGATCAGAACGGCCAGCCGTCGACTTTGGTGAACTGCGACGTCTTGGTTACCCGGAACCCGTGCCTGCATCCGGGAGACCTGCAAAAGTTCAGAGCGGTGCAGAGAGACGAGCTGTCCCATCTTGTCGACTGCATCGTGTTCTCAACTCAGGGAAAACGGCCCGCTGCCGACCTCTTGTCTGGCGGGGATCTTGACGGCGATACATTCTTCGTGTCGTGGGACAAAGACATAGTGCCATCAACTGTTTCCCAGGCGGCCGAGTACCCAGGGGCAAGGGAGCCCGTGTCGTTCAAGCCGATTACGGACGATGACCGCCTGGTCTACTTTGCCAAATACAACGGCTCGTCGCTTGGCCGGGTCAAGAATCTCTATCTCGACTGGGCCCGCGTTAGCGGTCCGATGAGTCCACAGTGCCAGGAGCTCAACCGGCTGTTCTCGACCTGTGTCGATGGAAATAGGATCAAGGTCCCCCCGAAGCTAGAGTCTCCTCCAAAGCCTGCACCGGAATCTCCACCCTTTGTTCTTGACGAGCTACACAGTGCGGCGGTGAATGCGATCAAGAACTGGAAGTGGGCGAGCTCTTCACGCCCCGTCGATTTCAGCGACTACTCCCTCGAGACGTTGGAGGTTCTTTTGAGCCGAGATGACTTGATGGTCTCGGAGTTCGAGCTCATCCAACTGACTTGGAAGTGGTGCCAAACAAACAACGCGGTGCTCGAGAACTTCGTCCGCTTTTTCGATTTCAACTCGCTCCGTCCTGAGGAGAAGCACTGGGTCATTAGTCAACTACCACCGACTCTGGAGTACCCCATGCTCGTGCAGAACGCCTTGTGTCAGTCGGATCTCCTCCAAGTATCCGAGCTACAAGAGTCAAAACTCCACTATCCCGGGATACGATGGAAGCGCTTCTTCAGCTCGAATGAGAACCGCATTGGAGGTTTCATGGAGGCTGCCGCCAAAGCCCTCGAGCTATTCCATCGCAAGCTGATCGTCTTTCGGGCCGACGAACGGCTCACCTTCGCCATGTACGTGCCGAGAAGGTTGGAGAGGGCTCGCGACTCCAAAGTCGACGAGAGCGTACGGCTCTTTGCCTTTCCTCACTCCCAAGGCCGCGATTCACAAAGCCGTCTGATACTCCCTACAAAAGTCAACTATCACTTGTATTACGACGACAACACCTTTCAGCTGTACGACGGGCATAGAGGAAACTCATGGGTGTTCATCACCCGTAGACCGTCCGACGATAGCTCGTACCGGAACGTCGAAGGCGTGCGGAACCGGCGACAGGCGCGTCAGGCTACACTCGATGATGGAACAAACTTTGACTTCAGGGCCAGTGTTGCTCTCGACAAATTCAGCAGTCGTCTAAAGAGCCATATTGACCGTGTGTGGAGGAATGGCGTGCTAGGGGCTGTACGAGCTGTGCCCCCGAGACCGTTACTGCTGCTGACATCAGCCTAGGAGATTTACATTATCACAAACCGGGACATCAACTCCATGCGAAGCCTCGATTTATGGCTGGAGTATGTGGACACGCAAGAAGTGATGCCCCTGTTCGAGCAGAACGCTAGGGAATATGCCGTACCCGTACTCAAAGACGTCGACTGGACTGAGCAGCCCCTATTCGTTCGTCAAGTCGTCAGACAGGAGTCATTCATCCAACTTCTCACGCTTGACAAGATTGAGGACTACGACAAGGTATTCTCGTTCCTTCTGGAGCATGACGAGAAAGACCTGTTGATCCGCTGCTTCGACTACATGCTTTCGAGCTTCGGACGCCTGGCCTTCCTGTTGGACACCCGCGCGGTACTCTATCGGATGCTGGACTGCGTCCCCCGTTGCCCCTTTTTGGCGATAAGTTTTACGCGTCTCGAATCATGGTCGGCTCTCCCAGAGAACTTGTTAGACATCCTCGACGCGAACGCCGAGGTGCTGCTCAAGGCCTTCGTGCTGGCCGCGAACACAGTTGGAGAAGCAGTTGTAGCTCCATTCGAAACGATCCTCTCACGCATCAATTATCTGTCTGTCAGCACATACGGCCGCCTGGCGGAGCTCATCGCCTTGACAGTGCGCTCACCAGTGCTCGCCATCACTTTGCTTCTCGGCTCGCTGGAGCGGGAAAGCGCTCGCCTCTTCATCGCCCGCCCCATCGTTGTCCGACATGCGGTGAAGAATCTAGCTGGAATCGCCATCGACCACATCAGCGAGGCGGAGGAACAGGCCCAAACAAGGGAAGACATGATAGAACTGAAGCTGCTTCCTGATACCAATGATGGCTATCCTATTGTGGAAGGGCAGTTCAGGATCGACGCGAAAGCGGGGACGCCAGAGACTTCAGCACACGTCCGAATGACTGCAGCAACGCCGCCTTCGAACTCATTGATAGGTCGCGTCTGCTCTATGGACGCATTGGTGGTGTCATCTAGTCCTGGTATGGCCAAGTTCAAGTGCTATCATCCAGTTCCGTCCTTCGTGACGGACTGCTCATGGAAGATGACCTACTGTGGGCCATTCGTCACAGCCAAGACCATGATCGATGCCGTCTTGACGCTTGCTTTGGATCCCGACGAGGAGTGTGCGGTCTCGCCACTACTTCTGGGGTATCGCAACGACGTTGATGAACCGGCGCCTGGACTCTTCCTGGCAGACGAAGAGATTCACACTGCAGGACGTTCAACACTCAACGCCAGCCAAAATGCCGCGGTGTTTTCATCCCTGAGGAACCCGCTCACATGTCTGTGGGGGCCGCCTGGGACGGGCAAG